GATAAATACTACCAATTTCTGTACATTTTCAGAGCTATTCTAGACAATGTACCAAATTGATTCACAACATGACTTTCATAAAAGAAAGTTGCCTTTAGGAAAAAGCTGTCTAAAACTCTTGTAGAGCTTAATGAAGATATCTACCTCCCTCCAAATGGAGCAGAGAGAAGGTTAGGAGTGCACATTGTTTACAAGTATGAAGAAAAGGACTGAAAACTGACGTAATCCAAACACCTAACACACTAGCTATTTTCAGGGAACCAAAGCCTTGGACAAATTGCTCTCAGGTCTGAGGCATTTGCTATATCACCAACCCAACCTTTAATTTGCAGCTCTCATTTAACACACCAGTCTGTAAACCAAGCTTTTGACTTACCAAATCAGGGGGAAACTGAGTAGAAAAAGTAAAATTGGGCTGTGATGAGGAAAAAGAGAAGCTGCAGTGCCAGGAGGTACCTTAATGCATTTAAGAGGACGCTCCCTACCAACATTTATGTCTGCTCTTGGCCTGGACCAGAGACTCGGTTGCTATATCTCAGCCAGTGTAGCAACAGGTGTTACTCTTGAACATAAAAACAAGCTGTCCCATTTTTAAAGCTAGTGATGGTGTCTGATATTAGAATCTTGCAATAAACTCTGAAGACCAAGTCTTAGGATCAGAAGAATCGATTCTATTTATGTGCTACAGAACTGAACAACCCTCATCCGGTTTTCCCTCTTAGATGGTTCAGATGAGAAAGTTGGAGAGTTCTCCTATCTACATCTCATTTCCCACCCTTAAATATGACTGACTTTCCAAGTACGTGGGATATCCATTCTATCTAGGTGGTCACCAGAAAATGTGTGGGTTCAATATGTTGGTTGAAACTCTAAAACTCTATCCATCCTGCTTCAGAACTATTTTCACTGATATTTAATTGTGCGCAAGTTAGGGGGACAGGAATGTAAAGAATTGTGCTGATCTTTTGTTCACAGGTAGAAGAGATGACCTTTTGTTCACATGTAGTAAGATATGATTCCATAAATTTTACTTTATGAGACCTACATGTTAACTAGCCCATTGCTTATGATCTTAGCCTTCTTCAAGTTATCCTCCTTAATTCTGCTAAAGTGATCTCCCTGTAATGCATATGGAGGCATGACGTCGCTGTATATAAAACACTCCAGTAATTTTGAAATATCTACAGACCAGTGTCTAAGCAAACTGGCATGAATCATAACCTCTTTATGAAAAACGTGCCTCCTTGCCCTCCAAAACTCATTTCCCATCATTCTTTACCTTGCATTAATGAGCCATGGAAAGTTATAATTTGTTCTTTAGTTTGTACTTTTACCCAGGCTGTGAATGTTTGCTTGGCCAATTCCCATCCTTTATTATCTGAGGCCTTCTTGCCTGCAGTAATCTTTTGCTGGTTCTTTTTCCCTCTGTAGTTAGGATAAGTGGTTTTTCTCCATACTTTTTTAATTCGATATTCCATGCAAATTTTTTTCCTTGCACTTATGATGCCTGTAATTATAGATGAATGTGCTGGTCCCTCCTGAAAACTGCTAGATGCTATATTTCCAGCAGGGTCCCTGTAACAGAAAAGATGTTCAAATGTTTTCCAAATGAATTAATACTGGAAGCCGTGAATGAACAACAACAAAAGGAATCAAATTCCTTTCTCCCCAGCCTCCTAGCAATATCTTTTATGTGAAAACCTGAGAGTAGATACTTTATACAGCCCAGCTTGAAGATTACAGTTGCTTAACAGATGACTGAGCTACATCAAATTCCTCTGTGTGTCTCTTCTACTTTTGTAGGATTCTAATCTTATTCAAAGCTTTCACTTAATATAACACTCCTTTGTGTCCTAACGTAGGACAAAATGACAATCAAGGCCACATAATTTGTTATTTTATTTTATTTTTTATCTTAAAGAGAAAAACAATGATACAAAAGTTCAGGATTTCAAAAAAAAGATGCTAAGAATGAACAACGGTTTTTATATTACATATTATCTTCAGCTTCTTATACTAGGGAGACACTATGATGTTTATACAGATCAGGCTGATTTATTTCAATTATGAATGTGGTCTCATGTTGCATCCACTTACCTATAAAAGTCTCAAGTTTATCCTTCCTTATAGCTGAGTAATACTTCATTGTATAAAAATACCACATCTTTTTTTATCCATTCCTCAGTTGATGGGCATTTGGGTTGTGTCCAAGATTTAGCTATTACAAATTGCACTGCTATAAACATAGGTGCACATATATCACTGTGGTATGATGTTTTTAATTCTTCTGGGAAGATACCCGAATGGGACCTCTAATCCTAATTTTTTGAGGAATCTCCACATTGATTTCTGTAGTGGTTAAGGCCACATAATTTGAAATGGGTTTAAAGACTAAGTTTCTTAACTCCCAAGCAAAGACATTAATTGGGCAATTGTAGGTTAAAAGAGAGAGAAATAATTGAAGGAAGATAGAAAAGTAAGATTTGATAAACAGAAAATTTTGTGTTGAAACAAATTAGGAATAAGAAAAAAAGTAAACCTGTTAAGTCCTATATCATTTTGTTGGACACGAGAGAGAAGGGGAGAAATGTGACTCTGAGCCAGAGCAGCAAATAATATGTCCTGAAAGATGACTAGGAGACAGGAAGTCTGCATGGCAGATGCCAGAAGTGATGAATGCACACACAGAGGCCAGAAGCACCAGGCCTGCTCCTGTGAGAGCCGTGCATGGGGAAAAGTGCTGGAAAATTCTGGTGAGGTAAGTTTGGGAAATGTTTAAAAAGCCTCAGAGAAACACATCAAGAGTATAAATAAATATTTACCAAGAGACTCGTCCTGAGTAATTGCTCAGAGACTAAGCAGTCCTAGGGTCTGCCATATGCAAACTGGAGACCCGAGGAAACTGATGGTATCGATCTCAAGTTCCAAAGCCTGAGAACCAGGAGCCTAAAGTCATAAACTCCAGTTTGAGAGCAGGACATCAATGCTTCAGCTCTAACAGTCCTTCAGGGTCTGATTCTTCCTTCTTCTGCACTTTTGTTCTATTCGTGTCCACAGTGGACGTGATGTCCACTTACTTTGGGAAGGAAAATACTTTTTACTTAGTCTGCCCATTTACATGCTATTTCCTTCTGCAAATATGCTCACAAGTACAGCCAAAAAAAAAAATGTTTAATTAGGTGTCTCGGCCTTGTCAAGTGCACATAAAATTAACCATCACAGCCACCAATGTTAAGTCAAGGTTAGACTAATTTGCAGGTGTCATGAGTCCATTATGTACTTTAGCACCTGAGAAAGATCTCATGAGTGGAAAATTATATTTTGGGACAACTAATCTGATAGAATGATGAAATACAAAGAACACATACATGAGTCCTGATCCATTGGTAATAAAATCCAAACTTTAGAATTATGAATTCAGAGAAGTAAGACACAGTTTAAAAATAATAATTGTTAAAATTTAATATCATTTCAATGTGTTCATAGTTGCGTTAGCAACATTTAATCCTTACAAAAGCTCTGCATGGGTCAAACTGTGAAGTCTGAGATAACCCCATTCCAGGTTAAGTAACTTGCTTGCAGTCACACTTCAGAAATTCAAACACAGTCTTGTGGAAAACTCATGTTCTTCCCACTGCACTGCTCTGCTTTCCCGTCAAGCAGGTAATTACACCCACAAGGTGCAGGTGGTGTAAACAAGTACAAGTATGTACGATATCATTCTTAGGGCCGTCATATTTACACACCTCCGGTGAGTCTGGTGCAATCAGTGGGAGGAAAACAGGTAAGTGTATACAAAGATCTGAGTTTTCTGTGTCTCCATTTATGAGTGAAACTCAAATAATGTTGACAAAAATCACTGAAGAATTGAAGCACAAGAGTCTCAAGGGTCAAATTTTTATGGAATGAAAGCAACAAAAATTGCAAATATGAGTTCTAGAAAGGCCAGACCACTGTGAGTTTTATTTCCTAAAACGATGTGGTAGGCAGAATACTCTACACCAAAAGCCATCTACACTCTAGCCCCTGGATTTATCCATGTTACCTTATATGGCAAAAAAGGACTTTGCATTTATAGCATCCTGGATTATCCATACATGCTTAAATGCAATCCCAAGAGAATTAGGAAGAGGGAGATTTCATGCATACATAAAAGGACGATCCAATATGATCACAGAGGCAGAGATTGGAGTGGTGTATCACGACACAGAGAGCTGGGAGCTGTCGGAAGCAGGGAGAGATGAAGACTGCAGTACCCTGTAAACTCTCCATAGAGACCACAGCTCCGTTGATGCTTGGATCTGCCCCAGAATTGTAGGAAGATAAATTTCTCTTGGTTTGAGCACCAAGTTTGTGAAAATTTGCTGCAGCAACCAGAAGAAACTACGATGCCCAAATGGCAGTAAGTGTTCTAAACCGTAAACACGCAAACACTCCCATAGTATATCACTGGTCTGTAAGGTGATTGAACTATATGGTAAATGCTTGAATAAAAAAAAAACTTCTTACAATAAAAGATACTTCAAAAATGATGGGGTAAGTGTTTTTGAAGCAAGAGGGAGTGTTGTGAGGAGGACTACTGCAATGTGTTTTTACTGTAATTTTTTAATTTAAACGTTCACTGTATGTTTTGATCATGCTTCATATATTTTCACAGAAAATGAAAAAGGAGGGTACCTTAAAGGGTTATTATAACCTCCTGGACTTTGAGTACTCCTTGTGCAGAGTGCTTTACAGTAATTCTCTTCATCCTACTCATTTAGGTTGCTGCTATAACAGGTCTGACTGCTGTTAAAATGTTAGGACAGACAAAATAAATGAGTGCTAATAAAACAGTGACATATTCTGCTTTCAAGTCACTGAAGCAGTGCGGTGCTTTATAACAGCATGACGAAGCTGAATAATTGGATACTGTGATGAATTTGAGGTATTGCAGTTTTGATGGTCTTAAGATTATGATAAGTGTTAAGCAGTAATGCCACATCTCCTTTTCTCCACAGGCTCGGTGGGATGGCCTAACTGGGCGTATCACCTTTAATAAGACTGATGGCTTGAGGAAGGATTTTGATCTGGACATTATTAGTCTCAAGGAAGAAGGAACTGAAAAGGTAACTTCCTTGAGAATAAATGTATTAATTAATTAAAGAACACTGCTCAAACTGGTTGAGGTAACATATTCTTATAATTCCAGCACTGGGAGATGGAGGCAGAAGGATTGTAAGCTGGGTTTCTGAATGATTTAGTCAAACCAAAAGGGCTGGGGATATCGTTTAGAGCAAGTGTCCTGGGTCCAGGCCCTAGCACTACAAGAAAATAAATAATAAAAATATAAAAGCACTGCTGAGACATTTTAGTTAAATTACATAGACAAGGTGGGGAATGATAAAGTTGTTCTCTCAGTTGTGTTCATTTACTTGCAATTTTCTAGGTCACTACATCATCTGTGGATAGAGGTTGATGTGCTAGATTCTTAAGCTGTATGGCTAATAGTAATGGTAGCTAACGTTTATCAGGGCTTGGTTTGTGTTGGAAGTGTGCATTCATTATTGCCTCTGTGATCTTATGTGGATGTCATCAGGCCCATTTCTCAGGATTTTTAGCAAGCAGAGTCTAGACATGGAAAGTCAGGCTTGTCACCTGTTTATCTAGAGAATGGCATCTAAAGATTACTCAGAAATTAAGTTTAACTTCATTCTGAGATTGGCAACAGAGGGACGGAATAAAATAGGATAAAAGTGGCTTACCATAGCATACCAACTCTCCATCCTTGATTTTAGGCCAAATGCTAAAAATATTAAACTAATTTTAATGTTGGATTCTCACTCTAGGTTATTTTAGTTGTAATTCTCAATCTCAAAGTTTAAAATTTTTCTGTAGTTATTATCCCGAGTAACACAAATGTAAATGATAAAAGAATAAGGTTGTCCCACCTACTCTGGAGGCTGAGGCAAGAGTACTGCAAGTTCCAGGCCAGCCTAGGCAGTACAATAAGACCCAGTCTCAAAAAAAACAAAAATTTGACTTCTCAACTTCAGTATTCATAGTTCTATAGCAAATTCACTATTCATAGTACAAATTATGTCTTACCTTTAGAACCTTAAAGAACAAATGTTTTTGAGGGCCCCAAAACAATCATCTGAGTAGCAGAGCTCTATTGCAATTTTTTCTATGGTATTGAACAAGACAGCTTTCCTAATATAAAAAGTAACTTCCAAACCAATCAATTGCTTCCTTAATCTGGAGTAGTTGGATTGATTTTTTTTTTTAAATGATGCAAGGCTTTCATTTTTGTTTCATGGCTTTTGTTAACTAGGGCAGTTTTCTTTTTCTTTTTTTCTTAAGATCTTACTCTTCCCCTCCAAATTGCATTAATTAAAACAAAGATTCATTAGGCTGAATGCAGTAGAAGGTTACCACTGGTGAAATATTTGAGGAAAATAATTAACTTGCACCTGTGAGAGTACACATTCTACACACAGTTTTCTCATTTCAGAAATGTTGCTCTTCCTCCTCCCTTCCTCCCTTGCTCCCTGCCCCTGCTCCCTGGCCTCTTCTTCAGTCTGAAGCAAATCTTTGGTGTTTTCACAAAGAGCAAGGCATCCACCTGGTTTCCACAATGGCTGTGGGGTTTGAGATGGAGGAAGCAAAAGAAAAGAATACTTTTTATGGTCTAAAAGCCCGTAATTTATTTTTAAAGAAAACGTCTGCTTCTCTAGGCATGCTCCTTTCTCCTCTTTGGCTTTTTTTCTTAGTGTACATTGCTGAAGGGGGATGAAAAACTCTTAAGGAAACCTCTTTTTTGCCCAATATAAGAGATAAAATAGAGGGAGCTATTGTTTTGTCTTTTTACAGCTATTTGTACACTGCCATATTATGCACACTCTATGGGTGTTTTTCCCTCAAAGGCAAAATCAAATTAGACGAAAGTGTTCTCTGCTTGTTTCCTATCTTTTCATTGTTTGCCATAACTTTTCTTTCTTCAGAAGACTGGGGCTCCATTCCTGAGAATTTTGATTAGCTCCTAAGGCAGTGGAGGAAGCCAGCACACCTCTCTGGGGAGCAAAGAGAGGACACGGCCAGTCTTTTCCTGCCAGCCTCCCTCCGGGGCCACAGGGAGAATTCTTAGAAAACAAAACATTTTTTACTTGTACTCAAGTTTCTACTGCCTGCAAACCCATAATTGAAGAAAAAGTCATCATGCACGCTTCTTCATCTAACTTAGAAGTGTGTGTGTGTGTGTGTGTGTGTGAGACTGTGGGTCTTCCACTGTGTGTGTGAGCTGACCCACTGATTTTAGTTCCTCATGCTTTCTGCAGCTCTTCTTAAGAAACGATGAAGATCTTTGAATGCTGCCACAACCTGTATATATTCAAAAGTGCTTTAGGTCATTTTTTCAGTGTGTGAAAGGAAACGCAAAATGTTGAGTCTTACCACCAAGTCATTTCTGCATGGCTCACACCCTGGGTCATGTCTTTACCAATTGTTAAGCTTTATATTGAATTAAGGCACAAAATTCAAGACAACAGGTGGAGAACGTCACCCTTAGCATTCACACATGGAGTACTTTTGGGATTCCAGAGTCTATTTTAATCGACTAATATTTTTATTTTTCCCTCTAAGCACCAAGTCTGCTGGTAAGGTGTCTAAACACTTGTATAAAGTGTGCTAGGTTTGTCTTCTGAGAACCCTGCCAGGACACCTGAGGGTGGGTCGAGGAATAGCCATGAAAAAGCTTCCACAGTTTGAGTTTTCTGGACCAGTAACCCTCCAATTGCAGCTTAGAGGTGATACTCTACATAAAGGGAGAGCACAGGTGATTAAAGGTTTGCTCAACCTTGTCCATCAATGCAAAACAGATGTGTGATGAGTTCATTAATGACGGATTAAATAATAACAGATTAAATATTTCCCCCCTAGATTATTTTTATTTCTCCACAGGCAGGGTCAGCCACTGCAACAGAAGCAGGCACGTGCCTGTTTATAGTCATTCTCAAATTACTTCTCCAACATTTTCCCCAAGGGGCATGCAAGCAGCTACAGATTTGATCCATCAGAGAGTCCAAGACCATGGAAGGCTGGGACACCTCAAATGTCACCAGCACAAAATATGAGCCATTTTCAGAAATGCCCCTTTCTTAGGAGCTGCCTTTGTGTTATGAACTATCTTTGTCAGATCATATTAAATTGCAATTTATTTTAGAACCACAGTTTCCAGAGGACAAAAACATTAGGAATTTTCAAGGGAAAATGAGATTATCTTGCAAATTAGAACACCCACTATTTTGTTGTTTATTGTACAGCACCCTGTTGCCAATGAATGTGCGTAGATTTATGCAAACAAATGTTAGACTTTAAAATATGTACATTGGGAAAATGTCTCAGATATAGGCAAACATTATACTATCTCTCACTTTTTCTCCTCCTTCTCCTCTTTCTCCCTCTCCCTCCCCGCGCCCTTTCCTTCTACCTCTCTCTCTTTTCTCCCTCCCCCTAACAAAAAGTCTGTTGATTGATGGATGCTCCTAAAATCACTTTAGGTTGTTCAGCTGCAACAGTTTGTCAAATTCACTTTCATCTTATCACCTGAGTCACAAAAAGTCGCAAACAGTTGCTTTCTGTAGCCAAAAGTCTTGTCTCCCTCTTGGCACGATGCAGTAGATTCACTAGATGAGCTCTTTTTAAGTTGCAAAAAACATGAGTTTGATAACTTGTTTCACTCTTCGATGACAGATGCTGCTGAAGCACACAGAGGTTGGGCTAATTTTCTCACTGCTAGTAAATAAATGACCCTCACTGGAACCCAGAAAGCAGTTTATTATACTAATCCAGCTTGAGACTCCAGGGAGTTTATTTAATTTTGAATTAATTCAAACAAATAGTGTAGAGAAGGGGCTCCAGGCACTGAAATTTTACACAAGGAAGGAGGAATATTCTCCATTTGCCTTTGAACTGCAGTACCCACGCCAACATCCCAGGATGTAACTTCTCGGCCTTCATTGTTTATGATACTACGGTACTTCCTTCCTGGCATCCTATCATTGACTGGCCGCATTGTATGTCCGTATGTGCTGTTCTGTGGTATGACTGTTCACTAACAAGTTACAGTGACCTGGGTTCTAAGCTTTCTCGTGTCTGAAATACGTACTTAAAGGAGGAGAAGCTTAGTTTGACTAATGATTTCAAGTGTAGCAGTCCATGGTTCGTTGGTGCTAAGGAGCAAAGGTCATGGCCAAAGAATGTGGCAGAGCAAAGCTTCTTAGTCCACAGTCACCAGGAACCAGAGCAGGAGAATAGCACCAGAAAGGAAGGAGCCCGGTACTAGATATGCTACCAAAGGTCATGGCTCCATGATCCGAGATGAACACAGAATCGTGCTTTACTAATTCCCTGGGCAACTTCCAAGCCAAACAAGTTGATAATTAAGCTTGCCTGTTACACACAGGGGCTCATTTAGACTTAACAAACGTGCTGCACTTTCCCAAGGACACACCATCTTAAAAGAGAAGAATTCATCCCCTTCATATTTCAATTCCAAAAGCTCTTCTCTATTACATTCTGTATTTTATAGAAACAGATTAGTTCACTTGAAATTCTTTGCAAAGGAGGGATATGGTAATCTCTACAATCTCCTGACCAAAATATGCATTATGAAATCTCAGGATACAGAAAACATATACACGTTTATTTGTGATTCCCCTAGATACTTGATTATCTCAAGCCATCATTTTGGATTTTGTGTTTATGTTTGGAAAACAGGTCCCCCTGACTCTCTAAGTGCCCTTTCTTGTTTCACATTTTTAAAAGTTTGTTAAATGTCCTCTGGGCATTTATCTTCAAATCCACACTCAGCTGTGTGGAATGACAAATGTCTGCTCTCTCCTGCCGGCTATGCAGAGGGAAAGGAGGCTGCCAGACAAGTTAGCCTTTGAGGTTTTCCCACAGACAACTGATCCACCTCCACTGCTACCCACTGGTAAATGACTGCTGTCTGTGTTTTCTACTCGTTTGAAAATTGAGATTCTGCTTTGTAGTGGCACAGCCGCCAAGTTCCTAGAACAAAACTCAAATGCCGGTGTCTGGGCATCTGGTTAACCCTGCTCTCTGAGCAGCACACATGTATAAGGGGTCTTGCTGCTTCAGAGAGAAGGGAGACAGATGTTCATTTGATGACAACCTATTCATTTATTTCAGTTAATAGGGAGAGCCACTTGTCTACTTAAATTTGAAGCACACATAGACACACACACACATAATTCTTTGCTTTTTCTGATCAAAATGTTGAAAAACAGAAAGTTGAGGTCATTCAAGTTGCATATGGTGCTGTTCATTTCTCAAAAATAGCCCGACCTGTACTATATTGTGACATTCTTTTTATTTACATTTAAAGATTCTTCTGTTCCACCAATAGTAGCGGGGAAATTATCTCCTTTTTCTCACTCTATGGAGGAAAATTTGCACCACTGGGACACTGGGACTTAGTTGATTGAAAAGGCAGCGTCAGTGTCATCTTAACTTCTGTGCTTTTACTGGAGAGAGCAAAAAAAAAAAATAAAAGCAAGATGTCAAGCTGTGGCATATATTTGTCTACAGTTTCAAGCTTTATTTTAGAAGGGAATGATATTGCAAGACCAATTCAGCACTGCCATTTTCAAATGTGAAAACCACCTCAAAAATCGTTCCTTCAAACACACGCATGCACGCACGACATTAATGAAAAAGAGTTAAAGAGAACACATTCCATTACTTGAACACAGTGGCTAATAACAGTTACGTTCTTCAATTTTCAATACTTACTTAAATAAAACTTAACTTGCATTCTCCTCAGGGCCTAAGTCAATTTTTAATTAGAATTACACCCAGAGTTTGATGTATGCACAGTCTTCATGGAGATGCAAGTGGATTGCATACAACCTAAAGCATAGATTTGGATAAGAAAGAAAAGCTAAGAGACAAATATATTTATCCTGAGTTATGCTACCTAGAAGCAAGAGGCCCTGACTCAAAAAAAATGGCTAAAGGGATAAAGGTAGAGAAGAGAAAGAAAAATATGTTGTCCTATTTCTTGAGTTTAAGACTAGCCAAAGAAACTGAGGATTCTACAATTAGCAGAAAGATTATGCACATTTTCAAGGACAGGCATTATAGGAGACTCTGAATGTGCTGAATGGTTATTAAGAGTACTGCCCTATCTTGTAATCCCCCACCTCTGCTACCCTCTTAGTATCACAATAATTTGAAATACGAAAAAAAATTCCTAAACTGCCCTTTACCTCAACTTGCATCTATTTCTCCAGTCAACTAACCCTAATCAAAAATAGAAAAGTGAAGTTAAAATAGTTTATGCTAATGTGTGAAAATCCTGGAAACTTCCTCAAAGCATTTATATCCCTAAAAGGGATGCTTATGCCAAATGAATTTCCAGCTGCTAAATTTAGGCAGTAAAGCAATTATTAAAGGAGTGAAATGTTCTCATGTGCAATATTTTGCTTAAGCATCAGAAAAGCCCTATTTTCTCCATTTTATTGGGGAGAAGAGTGAGGCACAGAGGGTTGATTAATTTGTCCAAGTTCGCAAAGCTGGTGTGTCACAAAGTCTGCCTGCAAAGCTCATTCTTTTTTTTTTTTTTTTTTTTTTTTTTTTTTGGTTTTTCTCCGGTACGGGGAACCGAACTTACGACCTTCCGCTTGCCAGGCAGGCACTTTTGCCGCTGAGCTAAATCCCCAGCCCCAAAGCTCATTCTTTATCCATCTAACCAAATGTCTTTCCACTGGGGAAATACATTTAGGGATCACACACAGATCCAGCCTAATGCAAAAGTTTTCCAAGTGTTAGTGTTCCCAATATAGCTCTGCTTTCTATAGCCCCTTTACTTTACAAGCTCTAAATTTAAAAAAATACTAACAATTCTGAATTCTTTTACAATAAGGCAAGATTGAACAAATTGCTTTAGACTAGATTAAACAATCCTTTAGATGTCCTTTACTATTAACATTCGTGGAGCTCTTAACATGCCCCAACACTTTCCCATACATCCTTTCATCTGAATTCCTCAATTTCTTACAAAGAACGTTACAGTTAGAGAAGAAAAGCTTAGAAAATTTAGTCACATGTCCAAGGTCATGAAGCAACTACCCAACTGTTTTTGCCTGATTCTCAAGTATACTTGTGTTCCATTTCACAAGACTGCCTGTAAAAATCTACAAATGGCTCAATTTCCTAAAGTCCTTGTCCCAGGCTTCTCCCTAGAAGCTAAACAAACCCATACACTGTTTAACTATCCCTCATCTAAAGTGCTCAGGACAAGAAGTGTTTTGGATTGTGAACTTTTTTTGGAGGGGAGGGGATTTGAAATATTTGCATATACATAAGATACTTTATGATGAAATCTAAATCTGAACGTAAACTTTGTTTCACACACATCTTATGTCTTACTCATTTTCTTCATTGCTGGGACAAAATACTCAACAATCACAACTTAAAGAAGGGAAGGTTAGTTTTGGCTTACAGTTTTTAGAGGGTTTAGTCCATGGTGGCTCCAAGGCAGGAAGGGTATGGTGGAAAGGTCTGACCAAAAAAACTGTGTATATCATGAGGGCCAGGAAGCAGAGAGAGAATGGAGGAGCCAGGGAGAGAGATACAGTCTTTTGTATCATGCCCCTAATGACCCACTTCTTCCAACCTAGCATAAACAGCTATGAGCTTCTCAAGGGCTAAGTCTCCTGATGAGTATAGTGTCCACATGATCAAATCACCTTTCAAAGCCCCTACTCTGAACCCGTGAACTGTTGGATTCTAGATCTAAGCGTAACTTAACATACACATTGCCTACAGGCAACCTTAAGTACCTGTATTAGATTACAATATCTAATACACCTGTGCTTTGTTTCAGCCTATCCTATCCTATCCTTTCCTATCCTATCCTATCCTATCCTATCCTATCCTATCCTATCCTATCCTATCCTATCCTATCTTATCCTATCCTATCCAATCCTATCCTATCCTATCCAATCCTATCCTATCCTATCCATCAGGCCAGGTGTGGCATTTCCAGTTATAGCATCATCCAGTCAGTACTCAAGAAGTTTTGGATTTGGGGGCATTTCAGATTTTGAGGATTCAGATTAGGGACCCTCAGTCAACCTTTCCATGGAGCTTAATAACCCAAGCGTAGCTAAGCCACTGGAGAAAATAGGAAGTTCTTATTTTCAAAAAAGTGATGGGCTTCACTGGATGCTAATCACCATGATTAGTTCTGTAATAGATCAGGGAGCAATAAAAGTCAGTATCCTCATTTCAGGAGTTCACACTCACACAGACACATAAGATAAGTGAACAAATAACAGCAACAGAGAGTTCTAGATCATATGATAGAGGCATGAACAAAGTGCTTGTGGGTCACCCCAAAGGTATCAACTTGGCTTCTCAGTGAAGATAGATTCAGAATTTGGTCAATTTCTCATCCACATGTTTCTCCCATTTATTTTTGCCTTCTCAGTGACCATCTATCCCTCTCCACCATATACCTGCTTCCTCCATCCCACATGTCATAGAGTTTGGAGAGGGGAGGAAGTAGAGGGGAAAGGGAAATACAAAGAACAAAGATGTGCTATGTACATGTACCAGCTCCCATGATGAGTATGATCATTATGTACTGCAAACATGCACTAATAAACTAGTAGAAAAAGTTTAAAGGAGCTGGTGTTACTGGTTTGGCGGAATAATACTTGTATCATTCTAATGCAAGCTCCACAAGGGCAGAAATTTTTATCTATTACTATACTGCTGTATCTTCCAATGGATAGAGCAGTGCCTGACACAGAAGTAGGTGCTCCACAAACACATGTTGGAAGAAAACTCTGATAGTCATTTTAAAGTTCTTCATTTTTTAATTTAAAGAAAAATAAGGAACCTAATAAATTATAACTAAAAACATCCTTCCCCAACCCCTTGAATTTCTCCTATTCTGCTTACACACTCAGCCTTCCATTGTTCCATTTTTTCACATTTAGAGGTGTGATGTCCTGGTATCCAAGGCTCCAAGCTCTCCTGCCCTTTCCTGGTGTAGGAGGCGCCTCTCTTTAGCGTAACTGCAGTCACAATCAGCAGCCTCTAACATGTGTGCTCTGTGTAGATTGGGATTTGGAACTCCAACAGTGGGCTGAACATGACGGATGGCAACAAAGACAGGACCAACAATATCACTGATTCACTGGCCAACCGAACACTCATTGTCACCACCATTCTGGTAAGTTATCTCCTAGAATTCAGGGCATCCCGCTGAGACTCCTATTCTAAGAACTGAAAGGATTGCTCAGCTGTCTTTTTTAATGCTGCTAATTCTGTCTGTGGGTGTCTACTTCTTAACTGGGTCACTACTCACATATTTTTGTACATTCTTGAATGATGAACTTCCAACCTTTATCTGGAGATCCCTCGCTTCAGTGCATCTCAACCCTGCTGTTCCTCACTCTCCACCTGCAACCAGCTGGTCTTTCTTGCTCTCTGACTGCTGGTCTTTTGGCCCAGCCAAGAGAAGTCTAACAAGAGACCAAGGAAATGCAGAGAAGCAAGAGAATTTCTTCCCCTGACTCCTTCCCACTGTCAACCAATGTTTTTTGTCAGAACGTCTGTCCATCCACAACCACTGCTCCTGCCCTGTCCACCAGCCTATATCCACGGCCCAACCGCACTGGGCTCTAGGAGCACCTTCTGCTGGTCTCTGCCTCAATTCTGAAGTTTCCTCGCATCCTGATACAAGGAGTCTCTGACTGTCAATATCCTGTCCCTCATCTCACCCCCACTTCCCTTGGTTCCCTTTGTCTGTAAGAGCCCCTTCATGAACTGTCCCTCAAACACCCTGCTTCCTGCTGGAACCCTGATCCAACATCAGTCCAACCACTTTGCACCTACAACTGTTCATTCTCGTCCTTTTCCTTTCCTCAGAGAGTTGGGCAGGAGCAGCTGTCTCTGAACTCTTCCCTTGTACTAAAGCCTGCCTTATTTTATTCAGTCCGTAACATTCGAGCTACTTATTTTTTAAAGAGATGTGAGAATTGTCATCCAGTTAAAAACTCTTTTGTTCTTCTAGTCACTACTTTCTCTGCCATCACCTTATAATAACATAGACCTTTCTATTGCATTTGTGTGATTGCACTATCAGTTCACTTAATGATAAACCTAAACATATAAGATATGTCAACAGCATGGTAATGATTATAATTTTATGCAACAAAAAGGAACTTTAATTTAGTCAGGTAAGAAACAATAAGTTGATAGATATATGGCTCAAAAGAAATGTTCATTGTTCATAGGACAAGGGGTTTATTACATAAGCTTGTGAGAAAAAACTGAATTGAGATAGGAGTGAACTATATTGCCAGCTGAAACATATAGAAATTAAGGGATAGTAATATTGAGAAAAAAATATATGAAGAAGTGAGTAAACTTAAAACAGGAAGTTTGAAAAGTCAGATATACTTGGTGATTTTGATTTTTTTCCTTCGTAAGCAGATTGGGCTGTTAAGGCAAAAGAGAGAGGAGTGATGGAAAGGAGCCCAGGTGTGGGCACAGCTGGGCCCAAGCATCTGGGCATCCATTGCTCTTGGAGCCTTTCCATTTTCTCAGATCTAAAATTCAAACATGACTGTGTTTCTATCACACCATTCACTCACAGCACCCCTCTCAGCAGTGCAAGAAAAATCTCCCATCCAAAGAAGCAGGAGGGAAAGGAAAATTATATGAAATGTTCTATTTTTGTAGAGGGCGTGGGGAGGGCAAGATTAGCAAGGGCAGGAAGGTAAGTCACTGATTTCAGTGTCTCAACTCTTAAGAACAATCTTCAAATATATCCACTCTTCAGGCTGCTGCTGAGACAATCCTTCCTTTCACATTAATGGAATTTTCATACGCAATTTGTCTCGTTTAGGAGGAGCCCTATGTGATGTACAGGAAATCGGACAAGCCCCTATATGGGAATGACAGATTTGAAGGATATTGCCTGGATCTGCTGAAAGAATTGTCAAACATTCTAGGCTTCCTTTATGATGTTAAACTAGTCCCTGATGGCAAATACGGAGCCCAAAATGACAAAGGAGAGTGGAATGGCATGGTTAAAGAACTCATAGATCACGTAAGCAAGAATACATTTTCTGTGTGTGGAAAAACAAAATATACAATGAGAGGATGTAAAAGAAAAAATGGTTGAATCAGTGTCAAAAGAAATGTTTTCTTTTTGATGTTTGTTTACTTGGTAGGAAAAGTAAAGATAAAAATTGACAATAAAAATGTATGAATCCATCCTTCATACCAAAGTATAGGCCTGAATGATTCTTAAATTCAATTTTTAAAAACTTCTAAGATTTTAGGCTCAGAAAGAAATTTCATCTTGTCAACTAGCATTATGACTAAGCTGCTCATTTTCTCCATTTCATGTATGTGTTTTATGAAGACATCTTTCTGCATTTTCCTCCACTTTATTTCTGAGTGATTGTGTGTGTGAATTCATCCCTTCTTGTTTCTCTTTGCTGATAAGTTCTATTTAATAATCATGCCTGTGTAAATTACCCATTTTGGTACATTAAAGCCAATCATCACAGAAGCTTCTTGCATAAGAAGCATTTGGGGTGGAAAATAGGGACCAGGTGTACCTAGAAACCATCTAGATATATGAGAGTCTAGAGAAACGAGACAATTAAGCTGACAATTTTGCTTTTACAGAGGGCTGACCTGGCAGTGGCCCCTCTTACCATCACATATGTGCGGGAGAAAGTCATTGACTTCTCCAAGCCCTTTATGACCTTGGGCATCAGCATTCTCTACCGGAAGCCCAATGGGACCAACCCAGGTGTCTTCTCCTTCCTCAACCCTCTGTCTCCAGACATTTGGATGTATGTGCTCTTAGCCTGCTTGGGAGTCAGTTGTGTACTCTTTGTCATTGCAAGGTAAGTTTGAAAACTACCGAATTTACTACAATGTGTCTAGATCAACTTCAGGCTCACCTGTACACTTTAAAGGTAGACAAAAATAGATCTAATGTATACTTTCAGTTTTGCTCAGTGTTTTATTCTTTCTAGGTTTCTGTGTAAAAGCCACTCTGTAAACGAATGTCTTCTAATTATTCATATAGATACTTCTTAGAAGAGGGTAAGAAATAATGTTTTATATTATTTTAATTGTATCAGTATTTGAACAACATAACAGTTATTTATCCATTTCCCTTGAGTTAAAGTACAATAAAAGCAATTTTCACTAATATATCTGAAATGTTTCAATAAGAGCAAGAAAATCACATTGAGATATTTGACTTCTGAAATACTTGGATAAACAAAACAGAAAAGAAGTTAGCTAGGAATTATTACTGCTAGTAAGAAACACCAGAATAAAAACATTGTGAAATCTGTGAAATAAAGAAAAATATTTTGAAAATTCTGTGAATTTATTTTAAAAACTTTTAATGAAATAACAAGAGAATGCTGAAATACAAATAGACCATAGTGGCATGAAATCTTTATGCTGCTTTTAAGTTGATGGGGTTTGTTTTATTTTTTGAGATTGAGTGCTATGTTGAACCACTTTGCTCTATTCAAATCCTTAAAGGATTTTTATACCTTGCAGTAAAAATATTTTCTAAATATTATTGATGCTGAATTGTTTTGGTTTTTAAAAAATCTTTTATTGTTATATTTTTGCAATAGTAACACTCATCTGGAGGCATTTGTACATACATATAACATACATTTATCATTTTCCATACCTGAATTTAAAATACTTACTTTATCTTTCTGTTCACTGAAACATTTGATAGCTTTAGATAAACCACATTTTAAAGAATTGTGTTTTTTATGTCACCTACTTGATTTCAATCTTTTCTCACCTTTCAACCAAATTCAATGAACTTTTTCGCTAATCAGTTTTTGTTTTCCCTCCAGGACTTTCTAAAAGAAGTATTTCTTCATGTTAGCTCTTTACCATTGTCCAGGTTTGAGTAATGCCAGGTAACTCTTTCCCTGGCATAATTCTAAAGAAAGATTAGGAAACTAGCCCATACTGGAAAAGCCTAAAAGATCCATAGGCAGACATATTCACACAGAACACATAGGTGCTCTCACAGGTGGGTATTCATACGTTTAATATGAAGTTAAAGTTTTGAAGTTCTCTACCCCTTGTAAAATGCACCATTACAATATCCCAGACTGTATACTTGTAAATAGTGACCAAAGCTCTCTTTCTGTACACTTCCCTTCAGAAAATACAATATTGACAGTAGGTATAGTGATATTATCTTTTAGTATTTAATACTCTAAATCAGTGGTTCTCAGCTGGGACACATTGTACCTCCCAAGGGATGTTTGGCAACATCTGAAAATATTTTTTTAACTTCACAACTTGAGTGAAGAGCGCTATCCATGTCAAATGAACAAAACCCAGGGAAGCTGTTAAACATCCTGCAGTACATAACAGCGTTTCCTCCAGCACACACAACAAAGGATTATCAATTCCAAAATATCAATAGCCCCAAGAGTGAGAAACCCTGCTCAAAACAAAGACAAAAATTGCTTTGGAAATCAAATTGTAGGAAGACATTTACTTTTGGAAATGTGGTTCCTATGTGAAGCAAAGGTGGCCTCCAATGGCTGCTGAACAAGCGATCACTTTTAGGGGAAGATCTCTGTAAAGATGAATGAGCAGTCTTGTGTTGACTTGTTGGATTCCTCTGTCCTGGGATCCACCCCTGCTAAGTGAGATTAGGGCTAGTTGAGCAATCCAAGGAGCACAGGGCAGCAGGAAAATATGCTTTCATATCCCCAGCCCCAGTCCATCCAGGCAGCAATGCAGAGTAGAACAATGTTATAAGTGAGAACATTATATATTATAATAAAGTTGACCAAAGCTAATGGGAGAAAAGGTGTCAGCAACATCCAGAAGTCCTCACAAACTCATAGGCTGACTGTACTCTTTAACATTTGACTCCATCCGGGTCTTAAATCATCTTATTTTTGTCTTTAGACTCTACCAGAATAGTGAAACATTTAATAGTTTCCCCCTATTGATTTTGCCAGTTCCTTTACAATCTCCTGGTGATTCAGACCTCTCTATTTCTGATCTCACACATTCCCTTTATTTTATGGTACAGTGACCCCACCCCACAATGCTATCCCCTCAATCTCCCTACTGCTGACAGTATCATTTCCTTATTTAGCTCATTCTCCTTGTCTCCCCCTTGCACTGCCTTTCTCTTGCTCTTGAATTTAAAGAAGGAAAGTTTCCATGTGTGAAAGCAAAACTGCAAGCACTATGGTGGTGAAATATAGAAAGTACTGTATAAAAATACAGAAAATACTTCCCTGCAGTGCATAGGGAGACTGTACTCACACTGTTTGGGAGATTGTACTCACTTCGTGCTTTCTAGGCTTTTAAATCTATCTCCGCTACTTGAGAAAGCCACAGAACATACTTTAGAGAAAATTCCCCAATATAAAATCCTGGTTGAATAGGGGTACCAATTCACTTGTACTTTCCATTATCACAGTTTGATACTATAAACTCAGCTACTCTGCACCCATAAGCTAAGGTGTAAAATCATTTTGGTTACTATCCTAATGGCTTGCATGCAAAGCTAGCCAAGTAAAAGTGAAAAACAGTTAATCTCATAATCATCTTTAGCTCTACAAAAAAGCTTTTGAGTTTTTGTTGTGAAGTATACTTTTTTATGTTCATTTAAAAGGGAAAAATAAAGCTCATTGCTGCATTTAAACTAATGCCCTCACAAGATAGACAAGAAAATCATTTGCTGAACTGAGTAGAATTTATAAAGCTGTGGACATGATTAGAACCAGTGAAAGAAAATATTTGAGTCCGGCCTGGGCAACTCTGTGAGATCTTGTCTCAAAATTAAAAAGGGGATCTAAGGAGAATGGCTTAGTGAGGGCTCTGAGATTAATTTCCCATACCACAAATTTAGCTACTATGACTTATGACAAATACTGATATCTATATTCCTATTTTATAGTTGAAATTTTTTTTTACTTTTGGAAAAATATTTAACCCTAAGGAATTATGTCCATGATGAATATACAATTTGAGAAGACCAAATATCCAGAGAGAATGTGAATTACATTTTATGATTGTTTTACTTTCTTTTTAAAAAATAAACTTTTTAAAAGGTTGCAATTGGAAAACAAAAGGAAAAAGCAGGAAATCTTTGAAAGTATATTCTAAGGTTATAATATAAATCCAAAGGCTATGTTACAGTTTCAAATGGAGCTTCCTTCCCCCTTTGGAGGACAAATGGGTCTTTCTCTCTTGAGTGCAGCCCAGTGCCCTCTCAGCCATCAAAAAGTTGCTTAATTAGAGAACTCTGGTATGAGAACTGCTTTATGTCTTCCGCTCAAATGTAAACTTTGCACTTGAAACATAAACTCAAAATGAGTTTTCCCATTTCAACACAGGGCCACTCTGCAACATGCAAGTTTTGACACAGATTCTAAGTATTCTAAGTTGTTCCTTTTGTTGTCATTTTACTGAAAGTCAGAACTGAGTGGAGAGCCCCTTGGGACTAGCGCTTTCAGATTTTCATCAGTGTGGGTCGTGTGTTAGCCTTTCCTCCTGACCTCCCAATGCTGATACACTGACACACTGGCTATATTTAAGCAACCATTAGGAATTTCAAGCTGAAATGTCTATCTCCGGGTAACAAGTGGGTCTGCTGCAGCATAAAAAGTCAGTGTCTTACAACACAGTGTCATGTTATTCATTAATATTCCTCAGTGCATATGCTCCCAAAGTCACACAGAATCAGAATCCAGAGATAGCAAACAGGTACAATAATATCGCTGTTTAGATAGTTTTCTTTTTTGCAACAGAAAATTCAATTAATTGCTCACTTTCAAGAGCAAAGTGTGCCATGCTGGGGGGTGGGGAGGGGAGCGGCCCTCCAAAGAGGTGAGTTCACGAATCAGAGAGTATCAGGAGGATACACAAAATATCAGGGGATGGCGACTGACAGGTTTGTGCTGTATTTTAAAAAAACAACCCTTCTCTTGGATGGATATGCCTCCTAATTTATTGCAATTAGTATTTGTAAATTATTGCTCAAGTAACAATGATATTGTTTAAGTAACAGCAGCTTTACTCTGCGTGCTCTTTCAATTAGTAGGTTCATTAATATTGGTATTCATTCCTTTAGCTCGGCAAACTGTCACTGTTGTAGGAGTGTATAAATTCAAAACTTAATTATATTGCTGAAACAGTAATTAAAATGTATTGGCATGGCACTGTCAATGAAAGCTATATTCATAAGCTTCACAGGGACCACTTACAATGGTGATGACTCAAAAGAGAGTTGGACACCTTTACGGTAGGGTAAACAGGCGGTTATCCCAGTCCCCCTAAGAATTGACAAGGAGCTGCTGCACGCTTTCCAGAAGAGGTTTAGAGAACAGTTTTCATTAAGAGGAACTATCTGCCCGGTTCCTTGTGCATGACTCACAGTAAGCACTCCCTTTTTTGCTGTACATAATATATTCACCTTCAGCCCAGTTTTCCCCGATGTGTCAGCAACCCGCCATTGTTTACTGCTCAGACCTTATGGCTGGAGAGTGCTCCGTATGTTCTCATCAGCTTTACCATACATTAACAGTACCCTAACCCTCCTGCTTGCATTAAAAGGCCTCCGCGGCAAATGGCAAAGCTTCCCGCTAAGAATTATTGCACTTTAAATCATTTCCACATCACTTTGCTGAGTATCTGGTAATATCTCTTCGAACAAAGAAGCACCTCTTGGCACGGTAACCCTGAAAAATAACCTCAGAGTAAAGAATGCCTATGGCCTACACAGTTCAGACGGATGCTTAGAATGTAGAGAAAGAACTAATGGGTTGAGTTTCCCAGACTGTTGTTTTAAATACTCCTCCAAGTGATACCGAGATCCATCCTCTTTACAAATAAAGAAACTGAGGCCAAAAAAGTACAACGAATTGTTCAAGCTGAATTCGTAGACTACTCGTTGTTTTTCCAGAGACTTTTACTGCCTTGCGTACCACCTTGCAGGCAACGCTATGATATGTCACAGAAAGCATTTTTTATCAAACTACAGTGGGAAATTAAAGAGACCGCAGGCTATAGTTTGTGAAAGAATTAAATTAAAAACAAATTATGAACTCAAAATTCTTCAGCAAGGTATGTTATACAGCTAATAGTAATCTACCCCCATGCTTGGTCCATGTTACCTTCACATTAAAGTTTTGTATCTTCAATGAAGTATTGCGATTTTTGTTTCCATACACTATACTATCTGAAAACTATTTAATACATCAGAACCCAGTCCTTGTCCTTGTTACTGCTCATGAAAGTGTTTTCAGCCACACAGTCCCTTTTTTGAACTATGAAACCACTGCACCCCTCAAACTTTTTCTGAGCATCTGTCCATAGAAATTCCTTGAAGGCAACTCACCGTTCTTTGCCTCCTCTGCAGGATCTAGCAACACAGTAAGCTGACTTTTCAGGCATGACGAACAAGGGTGTGACACTCTCATCGCTCGTTGAATGGGTAAACGTTCACACGCAAGAAGCTTTCTTTACAGTCCAGCCAGTTATTCATCAAGGAGGAAATGAATGAAAAAGTGGAAAAATTCAGTAGACCTAGATCTGAGGAGTATAATTCCAGCCAATCCATAGAGTCTCCCTAGAAATAAGTCTGGTAAATACTAACTCAAGGTTCTTTTGCCCACCAAATCTGTCAGTTTATGAATATGGTCTTTCCTCTTAGGGTTGATGCTCCCATCATGAATTGTTGGGTTTTCTGCATTGCTCAGCAAGTTTCTCTGGTGTCCCGTGCAGTGTATTTATCTGCTATTTACGAACTGTTTCTGTTAACTACCGCAGGTTTACACCTTATGAATGGTATAACCCCCACCCGTGCAACCCTGACTCAGATGTGGTGGAAAACAATTTTACTTTACTAAATAGTTTCTGGTTTGGAGTTGGAGCTCTCATGCAGCAAGGTACACCGGTTGCCCATCTTTGTCACGTGCATCCCACAGTCTGCTGACAGGCTTTTGTGCTGGTAAACTCCACCATGAAGCTAGGTGGTAGTCTGAAACACCACCTCAGGGATTTATAACACTAGCAACTGACTTTCAAGCCAGTTCTGAAGACAGAGATAGACGTGTGGCATAAACAAAACTCTCTTGTTGTATATCTAAAATAACACTCTATCCAGCGATGAATGCCCATTTTCCTTTGGGTAGCAAAGGATAAACTGCCTTAGAAATTGTTTACAAATTTACATAGATGGAGGTATCAGTCTTTTCCATTTCAGTCATTACTCCAGAACTCAGATGTTTAAGAAGAGTGGAATTGAAATCCTTTAATTAATAAGTTCGCTTAGATTCCTCCAATTGCTGACAGTTCCTAGAACTTTCGCTTAGCTGCCACTCTTACCAACCCCACTGAGATTCGTCTTAGCCTCTCAGTAACTTTTTACAATGTCCCTCAGTCTGTATCCATAGCAACAGCAAGCTATAGGAGTTGAGGAAATCAAATTCCAGGCAGAAAAATGTAATATAGTGCATAAATGTTCTGCAATTTAAGGGATTTTGCTATTTTTGCAGGAGGAAGGGAGAGTTATTTCAACCTTTGGAAGAAATCCCTCTTTTGTGGATTTTCTTCAGCTTTGATTCTAGGCATATGGTCTAGAAAATACATCCAAGATTAAATGCATTAATTGAAGAAAATCCTAAATCACAGATGCTGTTGTGTTTGGAGTATCTGCTCACTTGACAATAAGCTGCAAAATAAACTGGCAAAGGAAAAATCCAACTGGGGTACACGTTAAACATGTTTGTTATTTGGAAGTGAACATAGAGTTTTTCATCAGGAAGTTGCTATCCTACCACTTGAAATGTTCATATTCCGTGTCTTCAAATGGGAGAGAAGGAGGGAGGGAAGGAGAAAGAGAGAGAGACAGAGAGAGAGAGAGAGAGAGAGAGAGAGAGAGAGAGAGAGAGAAAGAGGGAGAGAGAGAGAGAGAGAGAGAAGGGGAAAGAACACTTATGGTTCTCTAGTATAAAAATACAAAATAATTGAAGAAAGTTGGCAATTAAATGTAGTTTATGTAGGCACTGCTAAATAGGCATAGACACCACCTTATTTACTAGAAATCACTGGCATAAATTTAGACCATAACATAGGGAGCTATAAATCCTGTAAGAAACCCCATTAGAAGCTATATCTTGCTTTACCAGAGCATTTAATTTTCAGAATATTTATCGTGCTAGTAAACACTTTCAGAGTGGAGTTCGCCTTCCATTCCCTACAACCTGCTTCATCTAGCCAACAGAATAGAAAACAGTACATTCAAGTGTCACGGCACATGCAGCAGACTTGCACAGGTGCACGGCTGTGACTGCCTTCTGTCGCATGCATGCACCCACCCCCAGAGCTTCTCTTTCATAACTACCTGTTTGGAGTTTACCATCATCCACAGCAAACTGTGGGATGCAGTGTCTGTTAGTTACCACTACCTTGGGTACATGACAGTCAGCCCCAACCAGACTCTGCTTGTCTTTCAAGAAGTGTGTAAACATTTGTCAGGTGCAACAAATGTTTCCATGTTCAAACCTGTGGTGCTCATGACTGTTGGACATCTGTCCTTGGCACGCGGAGTGGAACCAGGTACCTGTGCTCTGTTGCGCTCTCTCTCATTTGCAGAAGCTCGTCATTGTACTCAATTGGAAACCATTTTGTTGGATTTCTTTTTGGAGGTGATGATCAGGCTTTCTCTTTTCTACAGAGCGTGAGCAAAGTCTGGATCGGGATTGGCTGTCATGTCTGCCATAAAAGGCACTAAAGAGACTTCAGCAAGTATTGTCTCAAATCCCAAATATTCCCTATGGCGCTTTACTCTACTTGTACTGCTTTCATAATTCATCTTCTAGCATCCCCAACCTACACACGTCACCTCTTCTTGAAGGAGGCTATTTCTAAATACATCAGTTTATGTTGAGAACCATAATATTCACAAAGTTATGTGACGATTTAAGAAAATACAGATGGACATGGAGCAATTTAATTGATGCCATCCACTGAGAGTTTTAAATACAATTTCAGTAGGTTTACTGAATGGTTTTCTAATTTCCAAAAGAATTTCATCCAACTTCCTAAATATTTATTTTAAGGTGAAAAAGATGAATTTACATTATTAAATGTCAACAGCTGATTATTTGTGTGTCTGTCCAGTTTTACTGCCATGTTGATACTTAACAGTGCAAATATACAAATTGAAAGTTTATCTCTTCATAAATGCAACCAAATTACATAAGGATAAATTTGCAGCAGAAAAGCTGTACCTATAAACTAAGAAAAATACTTCTGTTAAATGTGTTCTTTATTTCCCATGGCTATTTTATTAAATAAATGCCATTTTAACAATAACCAACTAAAGGCCTAAAATAAAATCACATTGCCACAGGGCTGTTAGATCAATTAAGTACAAAGATATGAAACAACCTTGGGCTTTAAACACACACACCCATCGGCATATAAATCCCATTAAGCCGTAAGATTAAAACAACAGCTACAAATTATTCCACTAAATCCTTGGAGGCAATTTACTGGAAACTATTATAAATTTTTGTATTATTACACGCTCAAGTTCAAACAAACAAAAGGAAGAAATACAAATTGCAGTCAAACTATTTGCCTCATTAAAAGGGAGTAAAACACAAAGATACCTAATAGCATTAGGAGAACATTTCTGTGTATTCAAAGGCCAGAAACTGCTGGACTTCATCTGCTTGTTACCAGCCTTAAGCTGGCTTTGATTTCGTGAGCAATCTGTGCATCTCTATATAGATTAAACCTCAACATTAACTCATTTGGGGCTGGGGATTTAGCTCAGCGGCAAAGAGCCCCTGCCTGGCAAGCGCAAGGTCGTGAGTTCGGTTCCCGGTACCGGAGAAAAACCAAAAAAAAAAAAAAACAAAAAAAAAAACAAAACATTAACTCATTTATTTATAGATTGGTAGACTCTAGTTTTTCCTTCTATTTTAAGCCATCATTAACTACAAGATTTCTAAACACCCAATCACTTTTTTCAGGAAGGATCCTATAAATCAAATGTTTTATCTGCTGTACTTTTTGGGATTTTAAATTTAGATTGTTCTTCTTCCACTCTTTGATAATATAAGCTTGTCGTGCCTTCAGGTTCACTGAAGAATTGTTAGGTACACAACCAAGGGTGAATTTCAGGCAAATGGACTAGCCACAACCCATTTATGAATTAGAGCAATTGGAGTGAACTCAGCTGTGTGTCTGGCCCCTTCTGATTCTGCTACTGAATTTATAAACATCCACGAACCCATTAGACTAAAACTGAACTAGGCTTTTTTTCAAGATGTAAATTTAGCCCATGGACTCTTTCTTTGAGAGAGAAAAATTTTCTTGGTGAACATATTAAGTGCCTCTTAAACATTACCTTTTAAACATAACCATGAATCAATCATCTGAATGTCATCCAAAATGTATATTCTTACCATGAAGGGTTTCTCTCCACCTGAAAAATAGCCAGTTTTTGAGTGTAATTAAGAAATAGTACTTTGTTAAAATACAAAAATTATGTTTTTCAGAGAGTAAATATCTTTCTAGCCAAATAAGATTCTATATCAGAAAAAAGAATTGTAGCTCTACAAGGAACATAAAACAAAAAATGATTCATTCAGTGTCAAGTATGGCTACATCTTATTTAGTTTTATTTGCAAAATCCCAGTGTTTTATTAAAGTATATGTGATAAATGGCACAACGTTAATCTTTGGAAAGTTTCTCATAGTCTTTAATCTTAAATAAAAACAAGTTAGTATTTTAAACTTTTCATAATAACACAAAGAGGTTGAGGTGCTTGCCTGGCAAGCACAAGGTCCTGAGTTCAAGTTCTGGTACCAAAGAAAAAAGACCTAAAACATCTTATTTCACACTATAAGATGCGCTTCAGACAACAATAAAAAGCCAGAAGCCTTAGGATGGATGTCTCAATTTTAAGCAATTGAAGTGCTAAATTTTAGGCATAGAACACCCCAAGATTAAAGCTATTTTAATATGATCAACCACTAATAAATATCTTTTAATAAGAAGCAATGATTTAAAGAAAGGATCATTTAGATTTTGCTCCATTTCCAGAAAATACATTTATTTCATCTATATACAGCATAGTATGTCCTTGAAGGGCTCATCTCCCTACAACAGTGTCTTTCCTTTTCTCCTGACTCTGCTTAACACCCTTACTCCGATGATATCATCACAGGATCAGAGCTGATGCCTAAAGCTCTCTCGACCAGAATAGTTGGTGGAATATGGTGGTTTTTCACCCTAATCATCATTTCATCCTACACTGCCAATCTTGCTGCCTTCTTGACAGTAGAGAGGATGGAATCCCCCATAGATTCGGCAGATGATCTGGCAAAGCAAACCAAGATAGAATACGGCGCTGTCAGAGATGGATCAACAATGACCTTCTTCAAGGTAAGAATCTGCTGATGTGTTCTCAGTGGTAACTTTACACCGGAGAGAAAGGGGGGCAGATGATATTCCGTCCAATTTAAAAGCAAATAGATATTAGGGAACTTTTTAATGAAATGAAATTTATAATGTTATGATCCTATTAAAAGGAACCTCTGTGCCCTCACCAATCAGTGTAAAGCAACTTCTTTCTTCTGTCATTTCTTTTATCCCCAGTGTGATTCGCTAAGATCCACAGGTCAGTATGCTCTTGGGCTTTATCACAGTGCTGCCTTTGCAACATAGTCTAAATACCTGTTAATTAAACATTCATTTAAGGAACCCACAAAATGAATATTGCTTAATCTAAAATTCTGACAAGCAGAATATTGGAATGTCATCATTTTGTTCTCCATTCTGTACTTGTAGAAGCAGATAACAAAAAATAAATTCTGTGGGTATTCCCATTTAGTTAAAGAATTTTAAAAAGAAAACAAATCCCAAGGAACTCTGCTCTAATATTGTGTATGTAGCAATGAAAGACAGTTTTCCCAGCCATGCCTGATGCCTCCAGTAGCCATGAGAGCCTTTTGTGACTCCAAAGGAGAATTAAATTAGAGTGGATTTATTTTAAGGTCAAGTGCATTTCACTTTTCAGATCTTTTTAATTACCTGGAATAATGAAATTGATTTCTGCTTTGCTTATGGAGTAAGCCTTAGTACTTTTATTATCAAATCTCAGATACTATAATTCCTGAGAGTAAAGAAAGGGATTTTAATAGATCTGCTAGGTTTAGAGATCACAAGGTTTAGCCTTTCATTTACAGTGAAGCAAGCAAGACCTTCAGAAGCTGAGTTAGCTGCTTGTAGTCACCTGTTTCCTGATGGAGAAGGTCCTAGAATAGCGTTTAAGAAACACTGATGGAGGTAAAGATGCTTGTAAGGGGAAGACAATGGTTATAGCCAAAATAAACCTTAAAATCACCTTTGTGAAAGTTTCACACCCAGATTATCAAAGATGAAGTTGTTAGCCCAGGATGAAGTAGACTGTCTTGACTTATGGAGAATATTAATCTACACACAAAAACTAAGGGAAGTACAAACAATGTACCCTCCTTGGCATAATAGTATTTGCTCACACAACAGACATTACAGATGCCGTGAATTTTAGCATTATTATGTCACAATAATAATGATAAATAAGATTTATTTGTATTGCAAATGAACTATTTATAGAGTTTTATCAAAAAGCACACTAATATAAAAAGCAGGATTTACTTTTCCTACTGTTAAGAAAAATACTCTTAAATACTCTTTAAGAACAATGTCTTTGGCTGAATGAATGTGTAAATCATGGTGATTGTTTCTTTCCTGGAGAGTGATATTCTAAGAACAAATAATAATAAATATATGGCTTCCCAAGCTTCTCAAAGTATTTTCTTAAACATAATGTAAAGAGACATAAGTTGCTTCAACCTAGTGATACATCATGGTTCTTGTCAGAAACCACACGTCTTTGTTATTTTTCTTTCATTGCTGAGACAAAATATCTACCTCCCAGAATTAAGGAAGGAAAGGTTTATTTAGCTCACAGTTTGTGGAGGTTTCAGTCCACATTTGGCTGGCTCCAAAGCAGAGTGGCACATGGCAGAGGGCAACAGTTCATAGCAGTGGTGGAAAACAACAAGAGCAGAAAGGGAGGAGCAGCAGAGAGTAAGCTTCTTCCCCTCCCTTATATTGTATGCAGGCTCCCTGCCCTAGGGTGGGTATAGCACTCACACCCATAATCCCAGCACTGGACCATGAGTCAATCATAAACTCCAGAAGCCCACCCCATGACTGCCTGAGGCTTTGAGGGGACATCAAGACACAAACCATAGCATCAGGAAATCACTTGCCAGGCACACAGGGCAGAGCAACAGTGTCTTATATCTGAAAAACTGTCTCAAATCAAAGAGTTTCATTTTTTTTATTTTAAAGATAAAAGAATGAAAACATTAACAAACACACATACATTTACAAAATAACACAAAAACAATACAAGCAATACAGAATTTCAGACAAAGTGATAGGAAATTAACAAAGGTTGTTGTATTATATACTGATGTCTTCAAATTAGTTACTCAGATAAAAAATATAAGCATGTAAGATTGATCAAACAATTAAACATTAACTGTTCCTTTCAATAAAGCAATAGAAATCAGTAGTACAACTATCTTAGCTATCCTGTATATATGTATATATTTTTTTTTCCCTTCTTTCTTTCTTTTCTCTTTTCCCTCATCCCAGTTGCTCTTTACTTTTGAGCACTTTCCTTCCCTTTCACAATATCTATTGTATCTCCTACATTTTATTCACTTTTTTAGGTTCTCATACTAGTGAGACAATACAGTGTTTACACATGTGGGTCTGATTTATTTCACCTATGAGTATGGTCTCTAATTCTGTCCATTTACCTCTAAAAGCCTCGAGTTTATCTTTCTTTATAGCTGAGTAATATTTCATTATATAAAAATGCTACAGTTTTAAACCAGCTTTGGTAGTACATATCTATAATCCTGATGCTCTGGGAAGCTGATGCAGGAAGATCTCAAGTTTGAGCCCAGCCTGAGTATCATAACAACCTACTAAGATCTTTGTCTGTCTGTCTGTTTTTCTCAACAGATATCTGATAGATGATAGATAGGTAGATAGATAGATAGATAGATAGATAGATAGATAGATAGATAACAATAAAAAGTGGGGTGTGGGCTTAGTTGGGTGTGAAAAGTTTAAAGTCCCAGGGAATGGGCTATTAAAAGCAGAAGAGATACTCTATTCTTCACGATGTGCAGTGCCAGTGCCCAAGGGAACGCTCTGAGCTGCTCTTTGACAAAGCAGTAGAGGTGTAAAGGACCCAAGAGTAAAGGACCTGCATATTCACAGTGTCCCCACACTCATTCTGACTAGTGTTTGCTCATGAGCCCTTTTGAACAACCAGAATGCTGGTCCCATTTTTGCAGCAAGACCCTGGGGTGACTGCATGAAGATGGTGCTGCTCCCAACTCTGCTCTCTGGGCATTTTCAGAAAGAGCTCCTGCTTGATCTTTAGCCTGCCAATGAGAACAAAGGAAAGTGCTCTCTCAGATTGCCAAGCAAATGATCGGGCAATAAACATTTCAAGAGGAAAGAATACGGTGAAAGTACAAAATGCAAGAGACTCTTTGTAAGTAAATACACAGGTCCTTTGGGCAGAGGCAAAGACATTTCCACTGCTTCGTCAAAGAGCAGCCCAGCCTCTTCCTTTGGCATTGGCATCTAGAAGAATGGAGAACCTCTTCTTCTAATACCCCATTTCCTGGTACATACTTTGTTTTTTTTTAATTTATTTTAAAAAATAAAAGAAGGAAAACATATTAACAAACAGACATCCATTTACAGAACAGCATAAGAACAATACAAACAAAACAGAGTTACACACAAAGTTGTAGGAAATTAATCATGGTTGTTGTATTATTTATTGATATCTTCAAAGTAGTTTCTCAGGAAAACAAATAGAGACATACAAGATTGATCAAACAAGTAATCATTAACTGTTCCTTTCTGTGGAGCAATAGAAGACAGTAGTTCAACTACGTTAGCTATCCTGTATAAACATACTTACATAATTTCCCCTTCTTTCCCTTCTCTTCTCCCACACCCCACTTGCCTTTACTTTTGAGCATTTTCCTTTCATTTCACAATGTCTATCATACCTCTTAGTTTTTATTCACTCTTTCAGGTCTTACACTAGTGATATAATATGATGATTACACATGCAGGTCTGATTTATTTCACTTATGAGTATGGTCTCTAGTTGTGACCCTATACCTATAAACAACTTGAGTTTATTTTCCTTTATAGCCAAGGAATATTCCATCATATAAAAGTACCACAATTTTTTTATCCAGTCCTCTGTGGATGGACATTTGGGTTGCTTCCACAGCTTAATAATTACAAATTGTGCTGCTATGAACACGGGTGCATATATATCACTGTGATATGATGTTTTCAGCTCTT